GCAGGTACTACAGGAGCAGGTACTATAGGAGTAGATAGGGAGCAGGTACTACAGGAGCAGGTGATATGCAGGCAGGTATTACAACAGCAGGTACTACAGGAGCAGGTACTACTAGAACAGGTACTACAGGAGCAGGTACTTCAGGAGCAGGTAATATGCAGGCAGGTATTATGGGGGGCAGGTACTACCGGAGCAGGTACTATAGGAACAGGCACTATAGGAGCAGGAACTATGGGGGCAGGTACTCTAGGAATAGGTACCATTGGAACAGGTACTACAGGGGCAGGTACTATAGGAATAGGAACCACAGGAGTAGGTACTACAGGAACAGGTACTACAGGAGTAGAAACTACAGGAGCAGGTACTATAGGAATAGGAACTACAGGGACAGGTACTCCAGGAGTAGGTACTACGGGAACTGACACTGTAGGAGCAGACACTACAGGGGCAGGTACTCTAGGAACAGGTACTATGGGAACAGGTACTATAAGAGCAGACATTATGGGGTCAGGTACTCTAGGAGCAGGAACCATAGGAACAGGTACTATAGGAATAGGAACTACAGGGACAGGTACTCCAGGAGTAGGTACTATGGGAACAAGTACTATAGGAGCAGACACTACAGGGGCAGGTACTCTAGAAGCAGGTACCACGGGAACAGGCATTAAGGAACTACAAGAGCAGGTACTATAAGAGTAGGTACAATGGAGGCAGGGATTTTAGGAGCAGGTAGGAAGCAGGTACTATGGGAGCAGGTACTATGGGAACAGGTACTATGAAGGCAGGTACTCCAGGAGCATGTACTATAGGAACAGGTATTATAGGAACAGGAACTATGGGGACAGGTACTCCAGGAGTAGGTACTATAGGAACAGATAATATAGGAGCAGATACTACAGGGGCAGGTAAGAAGCAGGTACTAGTACTATGGGAGCAGCTACTATGGGAGTAGGTAGAAAGAAGGTTCTACAGGAGCAGGTAATATGCAGGCAGGTACTATTGGGACAGGCACTACAGGAGCAGGTACCATAGGAGGAGGTATTATGGGAGTGGGTAGGGAGCAGGTACTACAGGAGCAGGTACTAAGGAGAAGGTACTATAGGAGTAGGTAGGGTGCAGGTACTTCAGGAGCAGGTAATGTGTGGGCAGGTACTATAGAAGCTGGTCCTATGGGGGCAGATCATGTGTGGGCAGTATTATGGGGTCAGGTACTACCGGGGCAGGTACTATGTGGGCAGGTACTACCGGGGCAGGTACTATGTGGGCAGGTACTACAGGAGAAGGTACTATAGGAGCAGGTAATATGCAGGCAGGTACTACAGAGAAGGTACTATAGGAATAGGTAGGGAGCAGGTACTACAAGAGCAGGTACTATGGGGGCATGTACTATAGAGAAGGTACTATAGGAATAGGTGGGGAGCAGGTACTACAGGAGCAGGTAATATGCAGGCAGGTACTACAGGGGCATGTACTACAAGAGCAGGTAATATGCAGGCAGGTATTTGGGGGCAGGCATTACAGGAGCAGGTAGGTACTTCAGAAGCAGGTAATATGCAGGCAGGTATTACGGGGGCAGGTACTACAGGAGCAGGTACTATAGGAGTAGGTGGGGAGCAGGTACTACAGGAGCAGGTAATATGCAGGCAGGTATTAGGGGGCAGGCACTACAGGAGCAGGTACTATGGAAGCAGGTATTATGGGGGAGGTACTATGTGGGTAGACACTACTAAAGCAGGTACTCGGGCCACGCAATGTTCTCTGCTCTCCTGACGTTCACGTCCCCCAAACGCCCATTACAGATGGCGATGGTGCTAGAAGTGCTAACGAGAAAAACAGGGGGTTGGGGGGCGACGTTGCCATGTCACACGGGCCAATGCCTGCAGAGGTATGGCGAACAGGAGGAGGTCAGGTGCGTGTGGAGAAGAACACTATTGGCTAGAGGGGACCATAAAGGCCCCAAGGCTTGCCCCGAGGCAGGAGAACGCTCAGAAGGTTCTGGGAACAGCCGGGGGCCAGTAACCTTCATGACTGTCCTGACAACTAGGCATTTTAGCCCTGTTCTCTGATGAGAGGCCTGTCCCAGGGCCGGGAAGGGGCGGGGGGCAGGGCCAGGATCGGACCCTCCTCAGCCGAGTGACCAGCGCCTAGTCCCCTCAGTGCTCCTGCGGGGAGAGACATGTGAAGGGCGCTGGGGTCAGGCCTCCGACTCCCCAGACTGGCCATGTGACCTCACCCAGTCTACACCTCCCAGTCGCCTGGTGGATGGCCCGGCGATGCCTGCTGCCTCCACCTTGGAAAGGAGGCCAGGAAAGAG